TGCACCAACAGCCATAAAAGTAGGACAAGAACAATGAAATCTTGGAAACCCTGAGAGAGCTAAGGACTGGAGAAAAATGTGGAGGTGATGCTGCACTCCAGCTGCCTCATTTGGTCATGCCAACCCTCCCAACATCCACTTCCGTCTAGAACAGAGGTTCTCAACCTGTGGGTCGCGACCCCTTTGGGGGTCAAACGACCCTTTCACAGGGGTCTCCTAAGACCATCAGAAAATAAAAAAATATTGACATTACGATTCATAACAGTAGCAAAATTACAGTTTTAGAGTAGCAACGAAAATAATTTTATGGTTGGGGGTCACCACAACATGAGGAACTGTATTAAGCAGTCGAGGCATTGGGAAGGTTGAGAACGGCTGGTCTAGAATTTAGATGTGTGGCGGGTGACTCATTCTGTGTAACTGCATTTCCGGTCCTGAATGCTTTCTAAAAAATGATTTGTTCTTCATAATTGGATCCCACCCATGTTGTTCCTTTCTCATCTGCTGGGGAGCGAAGGAGCCACCTGCACAGACTGCGCCATGTTCCCGACGCTCTGCTTCAGGCACGAGGGTTCCATTAGTCAGTCTCCATCGTAAGTCTGGACTTAGTCACCAATTATTTGAATTTAATCACCAGAAATGTAGGTATTACGGGCTGTCTGGCATTGATTTTTTTTTTTAAGGGGATTGCAAGGAGGAGAGGGAAAGAAAGAATCTCTAAAATGCAGCCATATGAAATGTGCATGCCAATGGAATGAATGGCGTGTAGTGTCATTACCTGCTACCCCGAAGGGCCGCCTCAGCCCCTGCGTGCACTTCTTGGTATTAGTATCCTTAAGATCCATCTTCCCGACTCGGATTATTTGACAAATCAAGTAAATTTTATCCCTGTTGAGGTCTTTGTTTCCGAGATCCTGTAGGGCAGGGAGAGAACAGTTACACCTCAAGTGTCTAATGAAAAAAAGTAGAAAAGAAAACTTAGTAAGTTTTGGGGGGGTGTTTATCACTTAGTACACATGGGTCAATCCTACAGTTAGTCCCGGGAAAGGTAGGAGACCAAGCCATCACACCCATTTCACAGATAAGAAAGGCGATTTGGGAAAGAAAGCTGAGGGACAAGATTCTGGTGTTCAGTCGCAATTCTTCCCCTTGAATCTGATAGGAAGAGAAGGACAGAGGCACAATATCCGTTACACAGGCAGGGTTCCCTACACGCCAGCTGATGGATCAAAAAAATAGCATTTGCTGCAAATGACTCCATCCATTTCATCACTGCTCAGCACCTCTGAGCGAGGAGACAAAAGGGAGAGGGGAGGCTCCTGAGTTACCATTTCCCAAGTTCCTAATGTATGCATATCACTCAGGGCTGAGTTGTTGTGGCACCAAACAACCCCAATATCTCGGAGCTTATCACTCAACAAAAGTTTCCTTCTAGCTCAGACTCTAGGTCAGATGAAGACGAGCGGGAGCTCTGCTCACTTCTCTACTCTGGGGCCCTGGCTGACAAATGCGGTCATCATACAGGTGCTTCCACTATCCCCGCAGCAGGGGAAGGAGACATGGCAAATCACTTACTGGCAATTAAAGCTTCCACCCACAAGAGACGCAAGTCACTCCCGCTTACATTTCACTGACCAAAGCAAGGCATGCGACCATGCTGACTTCAAAGGGGACAGGAAGGTGCACTCACTGTGTGCCCAGGAGGAGGACTGCTAAAACTGGTGAACTACACTAATGCACTACTAACATGTCATTCACATGCGGAATGTCTCATGTCCTCATCTTCAACTTTTTTTATCCTAGAGAGCTTTCAAAAGCAGATACTGTTACTGCACCCCCATTTTACAGATGGAGAAACCGAGACACAAAGAAGATAAGGGGCTTCCATGCCCTTAGTCCTTGGAGATACTCTGACACCAAAGTCCATAAGCTTACCTATCCCAATACATCTTTCTCATCATCAGAAAGGCACACAGGAGGAAAAAGCACCTGGACCATCTCAACATCTGACTCCCGGCTCAAATCTAAATGCTTCAGTGTTCCCGGGACCCCCTTCCATCTGGGATCAGTTGGAGAAGGAACATCATGCAGTGTTGTTGGCATCAGAGCAGAGAACGCTGGATGTGGCCTCACTAGAGAATAGCTGCTTGTCGTCTGAACTAATCCTCATGTAGGTATATGCACTGGAAACAGCCTGTCAGTTCACTCCAGTGCCAGGGCTCAGGCAAAGCAGCCACTGCCTTTCACTGTGGCTGGTGTGGGAGGAAGGGGATGGTGTCCAATCTCTGGGAAAAAGACATGGCCCAAACGTGGTCCACAGCTTACTGCTTGGGGGCTGTGATGATTAACTGTTATGTGTCAACGTGGCTAAGTTATAGTTTCTAATTAGTTGGTCAAACACTAGTCTAGACATTGCTATGTAGGTATTCTGTAGGTCTGATTACAATCAGTTGACTTTAAGTAAAGGAGATTACCTTCCATCTTGTAGGTTGGCCTCGTCCAATCAGTTGAAGGGCTTTAGGAGCAGAAGGGGAGGTTTCCCAGAGAAGGGATTCTGCCTCAAGACTGTAGTATAGAAATCCTGCCTGCGTTTCCAGTCCTACACATTTCAAACTTGCCAGCCCCCATAATCACGTGAGCCAAATCCTTAAAACAAATCTATCTACCTACCCATCTATCTATCCTATTGGTTCAGTTTCTTTGGAGAAGCCTGACTGACACAGGGCTGTCCTTTCACCAGCTGCAGGAAATGGACGTCTGNAGTACCAAAGTGAGGACTTGCCCAAGCTGAGGGTCCTGCTTTCTCAAGACAACTTTTTAGAGCAGAGAAAGGACCCTCCTGAGGACCCTGCCCTGCACGCACAGACATCTCTACCTAAGAGAACCCTGTGATCCTGATATGCTGCTGCTCATCGCTTCGTAGTTCCTGCCCTACTTGTAGCCAGGACATTCATCTTTTGTTGATCATCTGTTTTGTTCTCCACCTAAATGTAAGCTCCACGAAGACAGGGCCATGTCTATTTTGTTCACCACTCCACCGCCCCCCCCATGCCCAGCACAGCGCCCAGCCCTCTGCCAGCTGTCTAACAAAGTCTGTTGAATAAATAACATCTGATGAATGAATGGGTGAAAATCTGGTTGGTGTCAAGTGCCCTGGCCCTGGGATCAGCATTCTCGTCCTGCCCTCCTCTTGTCAGACCCCACCTGGTTATCACCAACTCAGGGAACCAGGTCACCCTGCTTTCGAGTGGCCCTCCATGAGAAAGGGTGCAGTTTGAGAATGGAAAGACATGGGGGATCTCTCACGGGTGAAAAGGAATGAAGTGCTGCTTTTCTTCATCGCTCTCTGCTTTCCCCTTGACGATGTCTGTTATGTCCATAACTAGAAAAGGAAGAGAAATGAATGAGTTCTTTAAGTCCTCCCTGCATGCAGGAAGGGATGAGAATGGGATGAGATTGTAGGGCAGGGGCTTTGGATAAGGCAAGTCTCAGCAGGCCAGCCAGCCAGCCAGCATCGGATAATACACAGGCCGCAGGTGGTCATAATATGCAGCACCTGTCAAAGCTCGGAGCACGCGGGCTGAGGGGTCAGCGGGCCCCGGAACCTTCCAGGAGCATGTGGCTTAGCGAGAGCCAAGAGGAAAGGCTGCAGTGGCAATGGAATTAAGTGGTCAGGTATGGACTTGACATATGTGGACTGCATGTCTACTGTGCCTATGGAACACGAAAGCAGGGACTCCCAGTGGGATGTGAGCATTCAGTGAAATCCATTCACCCTCTTTTCATAAATATGCACAGACACAAAACTGTAGGAGCCTTGAACCCTACAGAGGGATTCTGGATCCTCTGAAACTTCTTAAATCAGCCGCTAAAAACCCATAAAACCAAAGTGAAGAACTCTAGCAACTAGAGCAGGGATTATAGGAACGGTCAGGGTTAAGGGTGGGGGCGGCACTGAGAAAAGCTAGTCAAATAGAAAGATAAAAAAAGCTAGTCACATGAAATACCTCAAACACTCCAGGCCCTGGGCAGGGAGCCGCTAAAATTCCTTAGATAATAATCAACCAGTGATTGAATCTAGTTCAAGCGGGGGG